GAAAGCCAGCCTAACTGCCTGTGGAACGTTGAGCAGATTAAGGGTAATGGGGAGGCACAGGTGATCAGGGGCCTGCTGGTAGAGGACCACGCAGGGAACCTGGTGGTCACCGAAGAGGAAGGGCGCGAGGAGTGGGTAGATCTGGAAGGGTGTAAACAGGTAGTGGTAAAGGAAGGAAAGGGCAGGGGAGGGAGACCTAGACTGACGTGTCCACTGAGGCCCTTGCCAGTGACTAAACTGAGGGCCCTTCCTCTTCAATGGGGTTGGGGATCTCATAAGTCTCAGGGGATGTCAACACTAATATATTACAAACCTAGATGGGGCTATAGGATGCAGGTCAAGGGGTGGAGAACTCCGTTGTCGGTCAAAAGTAAATGGAATACGGAAAAATCATCCAATGGCCATAATCGAAAGGCAGTGTTGTCAGAGGATTTGGTCACAGTATGGGAAGCCATACTGAAGATTCCGTCAGTGAAATTCGCTAGCCTAACCTGGTTGCAGTCACATAGGGCACTCCCTACCACAGTATGGTTGAAAAAGAGAAACATGCCGGTGGAAGAGAGGTGCCCTCGATGTAATAAGGTACCGGAAACTTAGACCCATTTATGGTGGGGATGCATTGAGTCCCACAGAATTTGGAGTTGGTGGAGTTATCACTGGGATAAATTCGCTAAAGGAAATATAGCTTGGGATGAGGACTTCATTATGATCGGACTCTTGCCCCCCAAGATTTCCTTCAAGAAGGGCTGGGGTTATGTTGCCTTAGCAGCACGAGCTGCAATCATGAATGTGATATGGACCTTAAGAAATGACAGGCTATTCAGGGCCAAGCACTACTCAGACATTTCTATCCTTCAAGAGGTTCTGGGCAGCATCAGGTCGATGATATGGGCCGACTGGAGAAAGAGAAGGAATAGACGAACGAGGTATAAATGGTTTTTTGGGACTTGGGGTGTGGAAGGCAGGCTAGTCAGCAGGAAAACGGATGGAGGCATCTCTCTCACCCCATGGCTGTTGGGGCCCAGGCCCCCGTGAATCTCAATGAAGTCTCAACGGGGGATCAGGTAGGTGGATGTTGTAGTTATGGGTCACATTTCTGTGAATAGACTCGGTTATATCTAGTAGAATTTAAGGTGGGCTGTCCTGGAGTTTGGAACATTTCAACAAAGGAGTACAGAGGAAATGAAGTAGGTAAGGAGAAACTTTAATTAGGATGATCGACAGTATAGCCAGCTTTTTTTGGGCATATATGGCGCCTGTCTTAGCAGGTGAGGAGGCAAACTGTTTCGATATCGTGCTGCATCATAGATATCTCGCAATGATTGTAAGGGACGCTGGGCCCCGGTTCCCAGCAGGTGCAGCTCCCCACAAATAGATTGGAGCCCTCGACTTACCGGGTCTGAGCTGGGGAGGCTCGTACCCACCCCAGGTTAGAGGCGGTTAGAGCACCGGTTGGAAATGCGCATTGTGGTATAAGGTTGCGGGTTCAAATCCGCAGCCTTGCGCATGGACACCGGCAGGGCGTTAGATTGACGCACGGCTGGACACACTATCCTCTGACCACTACATGGTTATGATTACAGACCCTGCCTGTATTGGTCAGGGGATCAAGTCCCGGGTGTTGTATGCCGGTTCTGGGTTCTGCAGGGCTTGCTTGGGGTATTGGTCTTGGCTGTTCTATTGTCCTCCCCAGTCTGATATTCCACACATAAGTGCCATCTCCGATTGATGTTCATACGGGTGAGTCTTGCAGATATATCTCACAGGTTACGGGTTCGAGCTTGGTTACTGACTTTGGGGGGGATTGTCCGGTCGGGCCCGTTACTGCCTTCGGGTATACAACTGGTGTCTGGATATACACACACATATCATACGTAGCCTACGGGCAAAAAACATACATCCACAGTTTCCGAACACATACATACGGCCTACGGGCTTGCATATGTCTACAGTTGACTGAGGGAGGGGTTAGAAAGACTTAGTCCCTAGGGTGTAGATTACGGTAGTTACCCCAGCAGGTTGCATATGTCTACAGTTGACTGAGGGAGGGGTTAGAAAGACTTAGTCCCTAGGGTGTAGATTACGGTAGTTACCCCGGCGGGTCTGAGCTCCACCTAGCCAAGATAGGGGCAAGCTAGGGAAAGGACGGTAGGACTGTCAGTCTTGAGTTCCGCCTGGCCTTGGGTAAGCTGGGGGAAGGACAGTAGACTGTCTAGCTGGGGTACTGACTGCTTGTTAGCCTGTCCCCGAGGATAAACCCAGGGGTCTATAGTCTCTTGCATAAGGACACGAGGTTGGTAGAATATAGTAGTGCCTGGCGTCCGAAGTTCCCGTGCGTGGCCTGTCCGCTTCCGCTTCCACTGGGACTGGGTTAATAGCTAGCCTTGGTGCCTGTCATGCTGTCTGGTCGAAGTCACCCACCTGCTGGTTGGGTGACGATCCTGAGTGGGTTACACTGAGGTAGGACAGTAGGGTAGGGGATACGCTGGGAGTATTGATGAATGGTTGGGTTGGGAGGTGACCTTGTGATCTTAGGACGGCCACGGCCAAGGCTCAGTGCTTCCGGTGATCCCTGTGTGCGCCTGGTAATTAGCCTCTACAACACCCCGGACTTTCTAGGAAAAAAAAAAAAAAAAAAAAAA